TTATAATGGGAACCCCTTGACAGTCCGCCTTGAATAAAACTCTTCCAGCAATGCCCAACCTTGGTTTTACCATTTGCCACGTAGCCTCTTTTTCCCTTGGGTTTCCGGAGCCCAAGGGTCATCTTTATTTAAACCCCCCTGGGCCAGTGCTCCTCTGAGTGTTGGTCCGACTGAGCTTCCTGCGGAGCCACCTCGAGGAAACTTGAGGGTTGGTTTTACTCGTAGCTAGTCTCATCTGAGTGTGCCCTGAGAACGAGATATGTGTAGCTCTTATCGGGATTTGTCGGCACATTCGGGCGGTGTTGCTGGACTTGTTTTACCATTGTTGAGGATGTCTTGTAACCGGGGTGCCGAGTCTGATCGGAATGTATCGGGAGAAGGAATATCCTTCGTTGACCGTGAGAGCTCGTGATGGGCTAAGTTGGGACCCCCCTGCAGGGATTTGAACATTCGAAAGCCGTGCCCGCGGTTATGGGCAGATGGGAATTTGTTAATGTCCGGTTGTAGATAACATGAAACTTAACTTAATTAAAATGAATCAACCGCGTATGTAACCGTGATGGTCTCTTCTCGGCGGAGTCCGGAAAGTGAACACGGTGTTGGAGTAATGCTTGACGTAGGTTGTTCTAGGATCACTTCTTGATCAAAGTTGCTCGACCGTGCTTTTGCCTTCTCTTCTCGCTCTCTTTTGCGTATGTTAGCCACCATATATGCTAGTCGCTTGCTGCAGCTCCACATCATACCTTGTCTTACCTATAAGCTTAAATAGTCTTGATCGAGAGGGTGTGAGATTGTTGAGTCCCCGTGACTCATAGATTCCTTCCTAAAACCAGATGCAGGGACCGATGATACCGCTCCAGACGATGCGCTTGAGCTCAAGTGGGAGTTCGATGAAGACTCTCGCCGTTACTATGTGTCGTTCCCAGATGATCAGTAGTGGTGCCCAGTTGGGGCGATCGGGGACTTTGTCGCATGTGGGGGTTGATCTTTATTTTGGTACCGTAGTCGGACCATGAGTGTATTGGATGATTGTAATGTTATTCATGTATTTGTGTGACGTGGCGAGTGTAAGCCAACTATGTACCTTTTCCCCTTTTATCTATTTACATGAGTTGTTGTGAAGATTACCTTAGTTGCAACATTGCTTTCAATGCGGTTATGCCTCTAAGTCGTGCTTCGACATGTAGGAGATGTAACCGGATCGAGAGTGTCACTAACATACAACAAAATACTAACTCATTCCACCTTACCTTTAATGCAAAATCGTCTCCTCTCCTAAAGTGGCAGAGAATTGTTTTTGCTAACTCACATACTAGCCCTACACATGTTGCTCGTACACCATGGCTATGCTTTCGGATGCAAGTGGATAATGTCACAAAATATTGCCTTGCTCAAAATAACAACTTGTACTTTTCGTACCAACCAGCTTTCTTAAAAAAATTCTTCCTCGATGCTCTCCCTCTCTCTCTCATGAGAAGACAACCAAATAAAAAATACAATTTTCTCTCTAGGACCACATCAAGTCAGTTTATTCATGTAACCCAAAAACCTATCCAACATTGATCCATGCTGCACCCTTCCAACTGTATAAGGCAAGGTATTTTCCAACTTGTGTGTGAGTGATAGAGTGCGAGAGAGAGAGAGAGAGAGATGTTATCATTGAGTGATGGTGACATGTTTTCGTTAGTTCAGGGCATGTGAAATACCCCATACCATTTGTGTAAAGATATCGATACTTAGAAAGTTAATGCAAAAATGCTTCAGCAGAAACTAAATGGTCAAATATTCATTTGGAGGGCTACCAAAAAAACATCTCTTCTAGAAAACATGATATTTTGGGTGCACTCTCTAAATAGCATCTGGATGGTGAGGATGAGAAATCAAGATTGCCACTTGAGGATATTTGAATACTAACAAGGACTTTTTCTCGACGTAGTTCTAAGGATAGAAAAAGTTAGGTGTTTTCATGGACCTCCAATACTGATATCCTTGTTCTCTTAAGCTCTTTCAACACACTCCCACTTACTTCTCTTGGGCTAAGTCCCTCGTCATGGAGGTTCTGATACATGTCAAGTTAAATCCCATCAAACTAGTGTACAAGCTTGGCACTTGTGGACAACGAAAATCCGTTGCATCCAAAAATTGAAATCGGTTCTTTGTAGAAGGGGAAGAAGAAAAACCTAGCCACCCCTCTCAAGGGCGTGGCTGCAGTCATTTGTGAGAAGGGTGGGAGAGAACACAAAAGAACACAACTACGCATGAGTAGAGGGGAAGAAAAAGGAGAGGTGATTATGTCCAGATTAGGTTGCTCCAAATATGCTTTGATTGACACCAAACTTGCTGATCTCGTTTCTTACTTTAAGAACTTCGATTGGGTTATCTCATTTGAACATTGGGTTAGTGGAGCATCAGATCTGAGATTAGTTTTGGCAGTTCAGGTTACTACAATTCTAGCACATAAAATTTTAGTAGACAAATTGATCTGGCAGGCAAACAGTGTTCAACTGAGCTAAAACTTGGATTAGTATGTTGGAAAGTCATGTGAGTGATTCTCTACCAAAATTGATCTAGATGTGCCCTAATTGTTGCATATCTAAGTGACACAATCAAGCATAAAAGGAAAAGAAAAAGGAAAAAGAAAAATACCTGCACGAACCTCCACGTAAGATCAATGACATAGGACTTAGATGTACAATACTTATGGCACATCTAGATGTGCTTTAATAAAACCGTTAAACATTAGCTCACAACTTATCAAAGAGGACAGAAACTATGCTAACTCTGCTTTGGCGAGGTGGGACTAAACTCAGCTCTAACATACACATAGACAAAAAAGTCCCATTTATTAATGCAAGGGAAACAACGCTTTGCTGATGGTCAAGTCACAAGCTGCTCAGGAAAGCATTGCCACCATCACCGAGCCGTTATCCACTGCCGGATGTGCCACGTGGCATCACTTTGCCGTGGGTTTACTATTTGGCTCTCGGCAAAAAGAGTGGTTTTCGAGTTTCGTCCTTTTATCGAATGTGTTTTGCACATAGTATCGGTAAATTCCTGTGTTTGCTGAGTTTGTTGCCGAGTATTCCTCTTAGCTTACTTCGCTTTACCGAGTGCTCGTGGTTTGGTTCTCGGTGAAGAGCTGCACACTCGGCATATGAGGAAATTCCAGTAGTGCTTATGGTTGTTGTTGTTGTTGTTGTTGCCGATTGCGAAGTCTTGAGTTTGTTGTAAATCTTTAGAGGGCTCATAGTGTAATTGTGCAGACCGGTCGGTCCACAGCCGCAGTGTTTACTCCTCAAGAGGAGGAGGTTATTTCACATTAAATCAGACATCACGTGTGCATGTCTCTTGTGTTTATTGCAATGTTATTTGTAGATGAAAGTTGTCCTCAAAGTTCACTAGAGATTAGGGGATATTTGTGTATCGTGGATGCATTCTTATTCTCCAACAAGCTGAGGAGAACGCCAATCCTAACATCTATTTATGAAGGATTATTTTGACTATCTAACAAATCACATATTGGCCCTACAGCCCAACCCTTATCCGGATTAACTCCTCGACATGTTTACTCCTCATGTCCGCCGCCGCCTATATTTACCAATGTTTTGAATAGCGGGCTATGGAAAATAACGGCTGGCCTTCAAATCAGATATAGCGGGCTATTTATGAAGGCGGCCATTTAGCGGCACCCTGCTGAAAAGGCGATAGCGGGCTATAGCGGAACTGTAGCCGGCTATTTAAAACTATGGTATTTACTCAACCAACGCCAGTTCTCATGAAAAAATTCTCCTGCCCCATCACACCCCTTTCCCTTGCTATTACCGCATCAACGTTGGCGCTGCCTAAATTCAACTCGCATCCTCCGCAAGCACGCCCGCCCGTGCCGCAACCACCCCGCACCTCCCGCGACACTTCCAATCGGTCGGAGCCGCCCCGACTCCCTTGAAATGGGGCTAAATTTCATGTTTTGACCCTTTTCCGAAACCTATTTGAGATTTGACCCTAGTTTGAAAAAAAAATCGAGATCTGACCCTTTTGCTACTGCCAGGGACCATTGCGGTAGGGTATAACAGTCTACCGCCAAGGTCCCTAGCGGTAGGGTTGCATGCCTTACCGTCAAAAAATCCTAAGTATTGAACACAATGCGTGCTCGTGCATACCGCCAAGTACCTTGACGCCAGGGTTGTGTAGACTACCGCCACCGCCATAGGCTCTGGCGGTAGCAAAAGGGCCAGATCTCGAAAAAATTTCAAACTATGATCAAATCTTAAATAAGTTTCAAAAAAGGGTCAAAACACGAAAATTTGCCTTGAAATGGTGGATCTAGCCGTTGGAGGCCGCTGTTACTGATAGCCGCAGCGCGCAGCCGACCCAAGCACGTGATGGCACCGGCCTGCTGCCACCGCCGAAGAGGAAGTACCACGGCATGAGGGTGTGGGTTCCGGAAATAAAGGACCGGGACACCAACCACCACTAAATGGATTGGATCAACTTTATACTATACCTTAATTTCAGTAGTACTCCGTATGATGTATTGTAAAAAAATCTCCCAAAGAATCCTAGGATGATGTTGATCTTTCTTTCACGTGTTGATTTTATTGTGACCGCAGCAAAAACAACCAATAATATTACAAATGTGGAACACGACACTGACTCCATATTCCTCCTCAGTCCTCACCGGTGCCCAGATGAACCCTCAAAAAATAGGAAATGCAAATACAACCACCCAAGAAACACAATCTCCAACCAACTAGTGCTTCAGACAAGGCCGAGAGCCCGAGACCTCACACGGTGGACACGACGAAGATCACAGCAGCCGAGAGCGCGAGCACCAGACCCGCCATGCCATGTAACGACGACCCGCCACTCCCCTGCAAGTACGCCGTCGGTGTCGTCTTCGATCCCGAGCCAGCGCCCGGAGCACTGCCGCCTCCAGCTGCAAGCAAAAAGGACATGTCCTTCGTCAACGACCCAGGGAACAGAGTCGCAAAAAAGAAAAACAGCGAGCAGCAGGACTTGGTCGGCGCTGTGTCGTTGCCGCTGATGTAGTTCATGCACGGGTACAGGCCGACCAGCGCCGTCGTGCAACCGGACTGCGCCGACGCCGACGACACCAGCAGTGTCAGTGCCACCGCCGCGGCCAGGAGGACGCTGCTGCTGCTGGACATGGCTGCCACCGCTCTTGCTCTCGCCGCCATTGATGCACGTTTCTTCCCCTTGGCTTGCTAGTGAAAGCAAGACGCTTTTTCTTGGGTTGGGGATGCTTGGAGCTAGATGCTGCTTGCTTACGCTGATCAGGTTGTGTGTTTGTGCTTTTGACCCTCCAGTCGTGTGACTTTATATAAACGGTTTTTGCTGGGGGGAGGTGGAATTAGTTGGGCATGTTGGTGAGCTACATGTCCCTACTTCCTACTCTTGGCACGAAATGATCTTTTTCTTTGATTTCCAGCAGTAGTCGTATATTATTTATTTCAGAATAATATTATTCATGTGGCTGCGAAAATAGTTGGTGTTAGTAGCTGAACCAGGTGTTGGTCAACGCTGTCTTAGATGATGCCAACAACTGTATTGGGTGTCACGGTATGGTTTTTGTTAGTTGTCTCTTGTAAAAATGGATCATGAAAAGGACGGTAACTTGCTTTGTCTTCCTGCATAAAAATAAACTTGCTTAGTCATCCTCAAATGCAACCAATGGATCTGATGCTTAATTGAAACTTTTAGAGGAAAGATGTTGAAATTGTGAGCACAATCAACTTCTTTTTTGATAGAGGATGTTTTTTATTAACTTAGAATGTACTAGCATCAAATGATACAAAGCAAGACGAGTGATACCTAGCTTCTGCATACTAATACGCACGCAACCAAAACTAACAGTCTGACACAAGTAAAAAATGACGTATTAAGAATAGAAAAGTCATATAGGATCGTCACTATGCCTATGTAGAAGGAGTGGTGGACTAATCCGGAGATTATTCTGCCACCTATGTTGGGTAAAACCTACCTGACCACCCGCTCCAATCGCATGCACACCGCCTTAAACAACGGTTGGTACTCCGTTAGGTTTAGTGTAGGCCAGCGTACGATCTCAATGTCTGCGAGGTGTCGACCGATTATCCGCAAGGTAAACTCTTTTCTTTTCCTTTTCCCCTTTTTTCAGTTACACACTGAATTTGGTCATTGAAAAATGCAATGTTTAGATGAAGATGCTATTGAAAAAGTTTTTAGATAACTCGCCAAAGAAGGAGGAAGAAGAAGGTGACGATGGTTTTGAGATTGGATTACCAGTGGTAATTCGAGAGGAAGAGGGAAAAAAGAAATGAATCGGTTCCCAATTCGGCTCCGTCGCATCTATCACAATCGGGCATATGGACATCTCAAGCTTTTCAGGGATTACTTTGTGGAGAATCTGGTGTATTCAGAGAACCTTTTCAGGCGGCAATTCCGGAGGCACATTGATCTATTTGTGCACATTGCACAATATGTGGAGCGGCGAGATCCTTGGTTCATTGTGCGAAGACACTACTACACATTGGAACGGCATTGACCCCGCATTACTGAACGACCAGTGGCCACACGTCATATCACTTACAGGCCTTCCTTGGCGTGTCAGTGATGAGGTATTTTGGGCTCTATTGGATATTCATCACAGACGAGTCAGCCAATGATCGTGTGTTTCGATGGCCAAAATGTGCAAATGTTTATCACTAACGGAGTTATGATCACGAAACTGCCGCTTTCATTTTCACGTCGGCCAGTGTTGTACGTGTTTTATATCTTGCCTTGCCCCACTCCATAATTCTCACTGTTGCCGCCGAGCTCCTCTCCTATTAGTTTTCTCTATATTCGGTCGCTTATCAGTGCCAATGACGCCCTCGCAGCCGCTCCCATGCCGTCCCGAGTGGCACTCTCTTGACATGTGTCGCATCGATGGTCGCATCGGCATAGCCTACATCTGGCGAAGCCTCCATTCGTCGTCTTTGGTTCCTGGCATGGCACTGTGTAGCATTGGCGCCACCATGAAGCGAAAGAAGCAGAGTGAGCACGGCACGGCGAGGGTAGAAGGTGACACAACGCAGTATATGCAAAGCTTTAAGCTTGATGGGGTGTGCCTCGTTGAAGCCCATGCTGGACCAGCTCGCCAAGAATCCTGGATGTTGCACCTCCGATGCCGCACCACCAGGCCGATCATGTACTACTCCCTCCATTTTGAACTATTTGTCGCAGGTATGGATGTATCTAGATACATCCATTTCTGCGACAAGTAATTTGAAACGGAGGTAGTACAAGACAGAGATGCGATGTAGGACCGGGCATGAGTCGAACTAAACCGGAGGAGGAATCGGGCGGGTGGGCGAGCGCTATGGACAAATCAAACGCACAAGAAAACCAGCCGATGTGGAACGCCATGTGGGCCTCCAGGGGTGTGACCGGCTTGACAAACATGCTTTAAAATACTTCCTTCGTTTCGAATTACTTGTCGCAGGTATGGATGTATCTAGAACATCTAAATACATCCATTTCTGCGACAAATAATTTGGAACGGAGGGAGTAGAATAGAACTTACCGCGCAAAAAAATAGAGTAGAACTTAATAATAGAAAGGTAGTGTGTGGCTGGGTAAAATGAAAAAAAAATGTTTAAATGGGGTAATCCCCGTAAAAATGAAAAAAAATAAAAGGTAAAACTAAAAAGTGAAATTGACTCTTCTTATTGTGTCTGCAGCAAAACAACCAATAATTACATATGTGGAATATTCTTCCTCACTTCCTCAGTACTCCCCAGTGCCCAATGCTAAACCAATAGGAAACTCAAATAATACTCCCACACAACAAACATATTTCTGAATCATCGGCCAGCAAGCGTTCCAGTCCAGTAGCCGAGACGCTCAAACGACCGACACGGCGTAGACGGCAGCGACCGCGAGCGCAAACACCAGACTCGCCGAGCCATGGAGCGACGAGCTGCTGCTCCCCTGCAGGTACGCGGACGGCGTCGTCTTCGATCCCAAGCCGGCCGGTGTCTGCACGGCCGGGACGGCTGGCGTGCTGACACTGGCACCCGGAGCACTGCCACCACCAGCTGCAAGCAAAAAAAGACGGCTCGTGTCAGCAGCCCAAGAAGCGATAACAACATTATACGTGCAGTGCAGCTCTTGAGTCTTGTAACTCGTAAAATAGTATACTGTCGAGCACTTACAGCCGTTGCACTTGCTCGCCGGCGGGGTCTGCACGTTGCAGGCGTTGGGCAACTCGAGCGCGCGGGTCTTGTTGATGGTGATGCCACCGAGCGACGACGAGTCACCGCCGAGAGCGCTGCAGAGGCACTGCGGCTGGGACTGCACGACGGAGGCGAGCTGCGAGCAGCAGGACTTGGTCGGGGCCGTGCCGCTGCCGCTGATGTAGTTCATGCACGGGTACAGGCCGATCAGCACAGACGTGCACCCGGACTGCGCGGACGCCGACGCCACCAGCAGCGCCAGTGCCACCGCCGCGGCCAGGAGGACGCTGCTGCTGCTGGACATGGCGGCCACCGCTCTCGCTCCCGCCGCCATTGATGGGTGTTTTTTCCCCTTGGTTTTGTAGCAAAAGAGAGTTGCTTTTCTTGGATCGGATGGAGGCTTGGAGCTAGCTAGTTGCTGCTTGCTTGCCTTGTGAGTGTGCTTTTGGAATTCGAGTACGCGTGTGTTATTATAGGAGTAGGTTTTGTTGGGGAAGGTGGTATTAGTTGGGTATGTTGATGAGCTGCATTTTCCTACTTCCTACTCCTGCAACGAAATGATTTCGGTTTCTCAAATCCTGGAGTTGTCATGGACTTTTAACTTGCCAAAATATATGGGTGTGGTTGCTAAAGAGGTTGGTGTTGAGCGTTGAACAAGTGATTGCCCATCTTCTGTTGTTGATTGCAAATTCGTGACGATCCTTTTGCATGGAATTGCCGCACAAGTGATTGCTTCATACTAGTAAATAATGATCGACAATCACCACATTACACATGACGATCAAATATTGCTTTGGTTTACCTTGTGATATATCTCTGTTGTTCTTGCATGGGAGATGATTTTGCTTTGTTCAAAGTGCTATTTGTAGGTAAACTATAAAAACATTGTTTGAAATTAGTGCCTTGTCATGAAGAACAACTCATATGGACAGTTTCAATGTACTTGTGTGGCTGCAGCGTGCAGCAGCGACCGGTCATCAGGACCATGCATTGTACGTTATTCGCACTAGGGCCTCCCATATGCGAGGGCCGGCCCTGGGCCTGGTGTTTACTCATAATGCTTTCTATTTCCTTCATGTTACATTATGTCGGTTGCCCAGGCGATCTACTCTATGTCCTGCTTTAAACTACCACGGGGACTGTGTCATCATGTCAACTCAATGATCAGAAAGTTTTGGTGGGGTTGCAAACAGAGAGAGCGTAAGCCCGCATGGGTGTCTTGGGAAGTGATGACAATACCGAAATACCTGAGAGGACTGGGTTTCAAAGATTTGGAGCTTTTTAACTTAGCTTTACTAGCCAGGCAGTCATGGAGGGATTTACAAGAACCGGCTTCTCTCAGTGCCAGGATTTTGAAGGCGGCTTACTTCCCTAATGGAAATATTTTTTATGTAGAACTTGGATGTAAGGGCAATATTTATCCCTACGGTGTTTTGGTGATTGATAACAATGCATTTGCGGACTAATCGTGTGTCTCGACGTTTTCAGATATTTCATGACTAGGCACAAGACGGTTAGGAGCCCCTCGAAGATTATTGAAGACGGCGTTTTTCTACGTTTCTTTTTCGGTGGATTTGAGTCGTAGGAAAGTCGTACTATTAAGAGGGGGTCCGTTTTGGAAAGGTTTGGGTGGAATCGTCTCGTACACGTTTACTCCTCATTGCACCGCCTTTCCTTTAGTACTTTGGAGCATCCTCCATTTCTTCTTGTTTGTGCAAAAAGAAGTTTTCCTATTTGTTGTTGTTCTGAGGCTTGCGGTAGTACTGCTCTTTGGAGCGGTAGTACCGCAGGCCCTTGTGGTAGTACGGCATGCCTTTGCGGTAGTACCGCAGGTGGTCATGGTAGTACCGCTCCTTGGGAGCCGTAGTACCGTGAGCCCTGGTCCGGCACAGCGCCAGTAGCGGAAGTAGGAGCGGATGCAATTTTTTACATCCGCTCCCCGCGCGGTAGTACCGCTTGCCGTCAGCGGTAGTACCGTGTCG